AAACATTTTATGAATTTGGATTGATGTTATAAGTTTAAATTTCTTGTGATTTTTATGGATGTTACAAAACCAATTTGTCTATACCAGTTACATTATCAATGTTCAACCTACTAAAGCAGAGTAAGTATTTTATGATAAACTCCAACTTGTTGACCATTTGCCTTATCATTCGTTGTACGATGATAACTAAGATGTATTCTCAGTTGGATGATTATAACTCAATAACACTCATTCTATTTTATGAAGAAAAAAAAAACTCCAACATTTTTACAAGTTATCTTAGTGCAATGAGATCAAACTTATACACTGTAGCACTTTAAATGGTAAAAACCAAAAAAAAACACAACGATTTACTAAATCATAAGCTAAAAAACTCAAGGCAAAACAAAACCTGGCAACGCTCGATCGTTCACACATTTTTTTTTTTTTTTGAGTTTTATGTCAAACTAATAAAAATTTCTCTATAACAAACAAAGGGAAAATATGATATAAACTATAAAGGCTTCGATTAGTCACAAGGAATAAATTTTGAGTTTCCTCAAGATTCCAAGTACTTTGGCTTAATTCAATGAATAACTTAGATTTATCTCCATAGACTCCAAGCATGATTTATTGTTCCTCCCATGTGTTTCAAACATAAAAAAGTGATACGATAGTCTTAGTCTAAATATTTTTTGTGGACCGAATCTTCTCCTTCATCGCATGAAGGACTCCCAAATCTCGTGGCGCCATATTTTCCTCGCTAGTTTGAAGAATTGTCAAATCCTTCGTTATTTGATCTTCATCTGCTTGACAACGAAGGAATTCCAAGTGTTGGTGTTGCATTTCAGCTCTTTCTTTTGCTATTAAATTGTGATGATCGAACTTTTCTTTCATTTTCGCCAGCTCTTATGCCCTTATTTCAGCTTCATCCATATGTCGTTGAGCGTGCTTTGCTTTGTCGCGTCCGACCGGTCGACATTGGGGGGAGGGGGGGGTATTTATTCGATGTCGTCGGGGATGTCATCAGTGTCAGCGTTAAGGTTGATGTTAGTTCGTGTGTTGGAAACGTCAAACAAACTTGAATTATATTGCGAGATCTCTTTGATTGTACCTCCGACGATGTTGGCGTTTTAATCTATTTTGGATCTTTTCTCACAATATCCCATATGTTTTCATACACGAAAACGTGACCCATTTTGACGTGATATTGCTCCCTCGTGACTCTAAACATATCAAAATCGTTCACACCACTTTACTTTTGCAAAGAAAGTTTGCTGAAAATCCCATTAAACTTGGTGCACGCACGACTAATTGGAGTCCACTTGCTACTAAGCATATCGACATTGCGATATGGAGGTTTCTTCATAAACGTGTGAAACTCTCCTCATATCATTTCCTATATTTGGATTTTTTGAAGTCACGCACCACGCGACCGCCAAAGCTTACTCCTCCTCCGGTGTCCACCATAATGGATGTTCTTCACTTTCCGCGACCTCTTTCCCTTTCTTGTTCCATTTCCCTCTACCTCTCTGACTACCTCCCAGTTGCGTTTTGGGAACTGTATCTTGCGTTTGTTGTGTGGGTGGTGGTTGTGTGGTTGTTTGTGGCATAGAAGCAAATGTATTGAAAATGTTTTGGTGTAGATTTGGGTTTTGTTGCATGTATGACGATGTAGAAAATTGCATTGTGGGTGAGGTGAAATTAAAATAGTTTCCTTGAAATGGTATTTGTGTTGAGTTTTGAGTGTTGAGGAGGTTTATATATCTCTCATATGGCGCGGAACTCGTCAGAGCGTATGTGTTTGTGTTTGGTGGAGCGGATGTGTTTATTCAAATTTGTCCGTTCCAATTGAAAAAAGATGCACGATACGACTTGTTTGGATGACAATGGATGACAACATAATTGGTTTGGGGGGGGGGTGTGTTTTGCCTGTTACGACGCCGTTGAGGGTGAGCCACATCGGCTCTAACACCCCTCAATGGGCCCATACCGACTAGTCCAAGGGAGAAATGTTATGTTTATACAATTTTGGGTGGGCAAAAACAAGATTAGAAAACGAGTATAGTTATAGGCAGATGAGGTAGGTAAAATGCATACATATAGAGTTAGAAGGTTATATATGCAAATTGTTAGCCTCTCCCTTTTAGCTTCACCTGTCAAAACCCTAACCTTTAAACCCCATTAAACCCCAAGGATTCTCCATATCTCACGACTGCGTCTCCATATCTTGCACCGATAGGTGAGTCTCTCTCTCTCTCTCTCTCTCTGTAGAAAAACATCAATTGACCAGTGTTTTTCATAGAATACATTGCTTGCTATGTAGAACAGAATCAATTGGTTGCTGAAAATCAATTTTTAGACTCGATTTCATGTGTTTGAACAGGAAAATGTACCACTTTATAATTTCTTGCTGAAAATCGATTTTCTGTGAGTCGATTCCTTCCCCTCTTTGCAAAGTAATATGTTTTTTCCTTTGAGTTTCTGTAGTTTTTTATGTTTCCAAAAGCAGATTCTATATGGTCCTTTAAAATCACTACATGAATCTGTTTCGTTGTTCATTCCCCTGTTTTCATGAAAGTTGTTTTGTTCTTCATAAAGTGTCCAAGAGTATATAAACGTACACAATTGTTATACCCTTTAGATAATTTCTACCCTGGCACTTTTCATTGTTTTGATCTCTTGACTGTTCTGAATCAGATTGCCCAAAATCAGAATTATTACTGAAACCATGTCTTTATTGATATGAATATGTATGTACAGGAAGGGTATTTCTGTCCAAAAACCAGAATTTGTATTGAAACCCAGAAAAAAAGATTTTGCAGCGATGCCAAAAATTCCGCTTTGGGATTTGCCGGAACTGCCCAAGAATGAGCTTCCACTTCACCTCCAACTCCAGAAAACTCGCGTCTTCTGCAATAACGATGCTCCCACTCATGTATGTATGGTTCCTGTAATTTTGATTAGAGTTGTTGCTTTAGGTTAAAACGATGACTGAGTTTGGTTTATTTATTTTTTTGTTTTTTTTGTTTTTGATTATGAAGACAGAGAATATACACTATTCTGGAGCATATGCATCAATGGGGATTGATAACAGCTTAAGGCTTGACGAGTTTAAGAAAAACTTCAAAGTTAAGGTCATTAAACTCAACGAAGATGACATGGAGTTTGATTTGATCGGGATTGATGCTTCTATCGCGAATGCTTTTAGAAGAATCCTCATCTCTGAGGTATTTTCCTCTTCTTCTTCTTCTTCTTCTTCTTCTTCATAATGGATATTTGTCTTCAGGTTGCATAAAAAAATTCGGTTCTTTGCATACAGCTTCCCACCATGGCCATAGAGAAGGTTCTTGTTGCAAACAGTTCATCAGTAGTACAAGATGAAGTGCTTGCCCACAGACTTGGTCTCATACCAATAAAAGTTGATCCGAGGCTGTTTGATTATATGTCAGGTTAATTGCTGTTCTCTTTACATTACACACTTGTTTGTGGTTCTCTTTAGTTTTTACACTGTTAACTTTCCCATTTCTTTTTTCTTCAGAAAATGATGTTCCTAATGAGAAAAACTGCATTGTCTTCAAACTCCATTTCAAGAATCCTCGAGGATCCGGTGAACGATGCACAGTGTACTCTCATGATCTCAAATGGTTGCCATTTGGTAGTGAATACGTTTTGCCAACTGAAAATTCAAATGCTTCAGATCCAAATTCAAAACCAAAAACATACACATCATTTACTTCCAGCCAAGACTCATTGCCTGAGTTCTCCACCAATCCTATTACTGTCACTCCTGGTATCATTATATCAAAACTTGGACCTGGGCAGGTGATTATTTGATTCAAAACATTATTTTTTTCTACAATTTCAATTTAAAGCCTTTTCTTTTGTTTTAATTGTTTATAATTCTGTATATGTAGGAGATTGAGCTAGAAGCACATGCGTGTAAAGGCCTTGGTAAAACACATGCCAAATGGTCTCCTGTGGCTACTGCTTGGTATAGAATGCTCCCTGAGGTGAAAAACATTCATTTAAAAAAAAAAAAAAAAAAAAAATCTCTATGACTTCCTTACATGTGACAGGAATAGCAACATACTTTTGTTCATTTTGTTTTAGGTTATATTGTTGAAAGACATTGAGGATGATGATGCTGAGGAACTTGTAAAGAAATGCCCGGTGAATGTGTTTGACATTGAGGATATTGCTAAAGGTAACATCCAGTTTACTTCACACAAGCGATAAGTGAAAGAAATAGCAATGTACTTTGGTTCTAGAGTAAATTACATCTTTGGTCCCTAAGTATAGCTGATATTTTTCAGTTTTTGGTCCCAAAGAGCGTACTCCTGCAATTTTGGTCTTTATTTTGAGGTTTTTGTAGATTCTAGTATATATTTGGGACCAAAATTGCAATAATTAGCTATATTCACTGACCAAAAATAGTCATTTTACTTGGAAAAGGGACCAAACACATTACGAGAACTTCAAATAAGGACCAAAATTGCAAAAATAGCTATACTTGAGGATCAAAACTAGTAATTTCAGTTGGAACAAGGACCAAAAATATTACAAGAGAACTTTTTGTGACCAAAATTGGAAAAATCAGGTACCAAAAAATGTCATTTTACTTGGAACAAGGACTAAAAATGTTGCCAGAACCTTAAATTGCAAGACTTAACTTTTTGTGACCAAAATTGCAAATCAGCTATACTCGAGGACACAAAAAATAGCCATTTTATTTGGAACAGAGACCAAAAACTTCACAAGAACCTTGTCCTTAAACAAGGATAAAAAAATTGCAAGAGAAGTTTTTGGGACGAAAATTGCAAAAAATAGGTATAGTGAGGGACCAAAAACGTAACTCAGTCTTGATTTTACTTGTTGAAATGAAATGATGGGACAGGTAGGAAGAGGGCAACTGTGGGTAGACCAAGGGCTTGTACCCTTTGCAGGGAATGCATTAGGGAGCCTGGATGGGAGGAAAAGGTGGCACTTCGACGTGTCAAAGATCATTTTATCTGTAAGTGCAACAAATACTTTCATTCTACTTTCATTCTATTATATACTATTAATGATTTTTTTTTTTATTTTGTGGTTCAGTCACTATAGAATCGACTGGAGCATTGCCACCTGAGGTGCTGTTCACTGAAGCTGTGCAGATCTTGGAAGATAAGTGTGAACGTGTTATAACCGAGATGTCATAGTCTCATTTTTATGTTTCAAAAAGTGTTACATTTACATTATATCCTAACTTTTTTTTAATGCATGTGTAAAACATAGTTTATGACCATTTTTTGAAAAAGAAAAAAATTGTTGGAAATTAGATGATGGCTGTAAATGAAAGAAGAGATTGTGATTTGTGATGATGGATGGGGTGGGGTGGGGTGGGAACATGAGTAAAGTAGATGGCCCCTTTAACTACTTTAGGCAAGTGAATCATACAACTTGATCTTATATGTCCCCACTTTCATACGACTCATTTTTATTTTTATTTTTATTTAACGCTTTTAATGATGTATATTTTTTTTTTAAACCATGTATTCTGTCTTCCGTTACCTGTTATTTTCCTTTTTTGTGTGATTTTTATTTTAATTTGGGCTTATTCCGAAAGCCCAACTTGTGTTTTTTAATAAACATGAAATAGCGGAATCTCATAATTCACATTTAAAATCGAAGATGTCGAAAGAGGTCGAGAGCATTGATTGTAACGGAAACAATGGCTCGTTTCATGACTTGGATAACTCAAAATGAAATTTATCATGCTTGTTTTAGAAGGAAAATAATACTATTTAAATAATCTTATTATATTTATTAAAATGAGATGCGTAACTGTTTAATTGTTGTGATTGAAATTCAATCTTATTATTATATGTTTGAAAAAAGCGTGCTGTTTCCATGAAAATTGTCATGTAAACAACAATAGAAAACTCGATAGCGTTTGACAGAAGTAGTCTTGTTTTCATACCAATATCGGGTGGCATAATATCACCAAAATACTAGTATTCATTTTGACCATAAAAGTACCCTCTCCACTATCATCAAGCCTGGATTTTGGTCTAAATGGACAAAAAGAAGAACAAAAAGAGGGATATAATCTAAAAACAAAACAAAAAGAGGGATATAATTTTTAATTTGCAAAATTATAGAAATAGATCATTTATAATAAGTCAAATTACATAAATGGTCATGTGTAGATTGTAATAGCATGAAATGTAAAAATTACATATATATTCTCAATGTAAAGAGTAAAATTATAGAAATAACCCACATTGTAACCACGAACCATTTTTATGTTTGGATCGGCAGTTTACATCCTTTGGCATATTATATTCGATCCAAATAATTTTTTTCATAATCATAATCAAATATTTGACCCTAAAACCTTTAGTATAAATTTAAAATAAAAAAAAGGATATTTTATATATCCTCACAGGCTATAGTTGTCTCTCTCCTCCATGTTAATGGTAGTAGCCCACATAGACAGCCCCAACACTCGAAACCTTTTCTCTTCTTCTTTAGACCACAATTCATTATGAATTATGGGAGAGAGTGATAGTGATCCCCTCTCTTTCTTTCTTTATCTCACACACTCCCACCATTAATGGTAGTGCTCCCTCTCCTCTTCTTTCCTAGCTAAAATGTTCATTGATGCCTCAACAATCAACATTCAACAAGAACCCTAAAGTTGTCATCTTTCTACACTTTCAGGTACGCTTTTATATATGACCCCTCATATCTTTTTCTACTTTTCTTTCTGTAAATCAAAGTGGGTTTTATGGCCCTCCCTATTGTCTTTTAGATTATGGTTGTTTGTGGGGGTAGTTTTTGTAGGGTTAATATTATGGAGGGAAGTTGTGTCAGTTCCAAGAATCAAGACTCATGTGTTCGTTTTCTTGATTATCATACGTTTCTTCTTACTTCTTCTAATCTTCTTTTCTTTCTCTATATATATGTGTGTGTAGAAAGCTGCTCCTGAAACGTAACAATGGGTTCAATCCGAGAAATGAAACCGTTTAAAGATCCAATAATTGGTGGTGAAAGAACAGATTTTGTGGAGAGTGGAAAGAGTAGCATGTGTAGAGGAAGTACAAGCACTGATATAAGCGATGAAAGTTCTTACAGCACGTTGAGCGCCACCATCAGCAAACCTCATAAATCAAACGATTCAAGATGGGAAGCGATTCAGAGTGTTAGATTACAAGATGGGAATCTGGGTCTGAATCATTTTCGATTGTTGAAAAGATTGGGTTGCGGGGACATTGGAAGTGTTTATCTTTGTGAGCTTACGGGTACCAAATCGTATTATGCAATGAAGGTGATGGATAAAGTGTCGCTTGAAGGTCGTAATAAGTTATTAAGAGCGCAAACAGAAAAGGAAATACTTCAATCTTTGGATCATCCTTTTCTTCCCAGTTTGTATACTCATTTTGAGACTGATAAGTTCTCGTGTTTGGTAATGGAGTTTTGCCCCGGCGGCGATTTGCACATGCTCCGGCAACGCCAGCCGGGAAAACGATTCTGTGAACAAGCTGTCAAGTAAGTATATGACAACCTAATTAATATTCCCAGATCTTTTCTTTTTCAAAACTTTTGAATCTTATCAAGTTATCGGTGCAGATTTTATGTTGCTGAGATACTTCTTGCTATGGAGTACCTGCATATGCTTGGAATCGTGTATCGTGACCTGAAGCCGGAAAATGTTCTTGTAAGGGAAGATGGTCATATAATGCTTACCGACTTTGATCTTTCACTTCGTTGTTCGGTCAGTCCAACGCTTGTGAATTTATTTTCAGCGTCTTTAGAGAACGATCCTTTACAGAAGAGCTCCGGTTATTGCATCGAGCCGCCGTCGTCTTCGTCGTGTATCCAACCCTCATGTGTGGTTTCTACCTCTTGTTTCTCTCCGAGAATGTTTAGATCCAAGAAAGATAAGAAATCGAAGTCGAAATCGGAAATTGGGAACCAGGTGAGTCCGTTACCGGAGCTTATGGCTGAGCCGACCGGTGTCCGGTCAATGTCGTTTGTTGGGACGCATGAGTATTTGGCGCCGGAGATTATAAAAAACGAAGGACATGGCAGCGCGGTGGATTGGTGGACGCTTGGTATATTTTTGTACGAGTTGCTTTTTGGGAAAACTCCGTTCAAAGGGACAGGCAATCGAGCGACGTTGACAAATGTGGTTGGGCAGCCGCTGAGGTTCCCGGAGTCGCCGGTTGTAAGTTTTCCGGCGAGGGATCTGATGAGAGGTTTGCTGGTGAAAGAACCAAAGCAACGATTGGCATACAAGAGAGGAGCTACTGAAATCAAACAACATCCTTTCTTTGAAGGTGTTAATTGGGCGTTGATTCGTTGTGCAACCCCACCGGAAATCCCAAAGGCGGTGGTGTTTGAACGGAATTCTTCTCCGATGACATCCCTTTGCGAGAAAAAGGCTGCTGCTGTCGTGGTTGCACCTCAGAAGAAGGGATCCGAGAATTATCTTGAGTTTGATTTCTTTTGAAACAGTATACATTCTGAAACGTGAAGCATTCTTTTTTAATTTCGTTTGGATTTTTTTTTTTTTTCTGTGGAAAGATAAGAAATTTATGATGTTTTTGTTTGGACGACTGTTGAAATATGTGAAAATTTTGTGTTTGTAAATGTTAATACAACGACATTCTTCAGATTATTCCTTTTTGTGCTAGTTTTTTACTTTTTACATGGTTAAAAGTGAAACAATATTTCCTAAAAACGAAGGATTACAAATTGTAAATAAAATGTGCGGTGAACGTGGATCGAACACGTGACCTTCAGATCTTTAGTATGACGCTCTCCCAACTGAGCTATCCCCGTAGATGAATATGCCTTTAGACATATCATATATGATCACAGTATCAATGAGAAAACTGTACATTATATTTGAAATGTATACAAAAATAAATATAACTAATAATTAGTGAACGAGAACGTGAGAATGTTTATTCAGTGAATGCACCGTTTTGGCGTTTTGACATAAATGAGCATTTAATTTATCAAATTTTTTTCCAACCATGTAATATAAAGCAAAATAAATGTTATATCAATACAACAATATCAATGGAAATTAAAAACCATGTATACGTTTTTTGTGTTTGATAGTGTAGATATAAAAACGAAACATGAAAGTATTTTACTTTTATCCAAATTTTCTTATTCAAACAATATGTTCTTGAGATCCAAACCATTCTGTACTTTATGTATAAAAAGGAGTAATTTTTTGGATCTAATTACACACTTTTTAGCTTTGACATATTCTTTTGATAGTATTTGTTAATTTATTACAGTATAAAGTTATTAATATATATTCTGAAGCATTTTCTTCGCGGTTGATATGGGGTTTTTCTTTCACATTCAAAATAATATTAATATAATACGAAATTAATTAAATAAAATAAATATAAAATCATATATAAACAATATGAAATTAGTTTAGATATATAAGCTCATCATCCAAAATGTTTCATTCATACTACTCTAACTATAAATATATCAAAAGATTTCATCCAATTTATAAATTTGTCATTTATATTAGAACCATAAAAAATATAAGAAAACAATATTGTTTTATGGAAATTTGTTTGGTGATCTAAAGATAAAAACATGAACATTGGTCATTAGATGTTAAAAAATCGAAAAAGAAATTTTAGGAACCGAGAACTGCCGCAAGTGATTTTAACAATTACGTTGAAGCTCTACGAAGTTGTCAATACTATATCACTATCATAGGTGGATGATTGAGGTGGGTAAAGAAGATCAATAATTTTGAGTCGTGAGGTTGTTGGTGTTTAATTGTTTTTACTTTTTAGTGTCTTTAGCCGTTTTAGGTTAATGTAACTTACATGAACAGTGTGTGTAATTTTGAGTTATGATCAAGTACATTAGGTGGTGCAAACTCAAACAAATTTTAGGATCGCAAATATAGTGTCATAACACTATTTTGTAGTTGTTTTTTTCTCTAGTTTCTTAACACTACTTTTTATTTTTATTTTTTTTAGTAAATTACACGAATGGTGCCTATGGTTTAGGGTAATTTGCGCAATTGTAAAACACAAAAATGATGAGTTTTAAACACTAAAATGGTGTAATAATCCAACCATACATTAAAATAATGTACTTTAGAGGTTGAACATTTTGACATTCATATTTGGTGTTTGAGTGTATCCTACGCACTAAAATAGTGTATTTTAGAGGTTGATTGGAACGCTAAAGGGAAAAACTAACACTAAAATGATATTTTTTAGTGTACCATTGGATTTTGTCTAAAAGCCTAAAAGTAAAAGGTATTTAAGCCGACAAAGCCAAGCTAAAATGGTCGGAGAAGAAATAGTAGAAAGTAGGGTTTGATGTTGTGGAGACATGAATTGGTTGTATGAAGAGGGCAAAGTCTTGATCAAACATGTCAAGCCCATTAAAATAACACATTGATTTTTGTTCTAATTTAATTTACGTAAATAATTTCATATTAATATAAAGAGTTAACTAATTCACGTCAAAATAAAAGGATAAATGTATAAATGACATTAAGTTTATATAAAACTTTTATTTTGATTTTGATATTGTATTTTTTTTTACAATTAAGGTATTAATTTTTCAAAAAATAATAATTTTGACATTATATTTTTCAATTTGTTTTAATGCTGACAACTTGACCGCCAATCCAATTGGCAACTGACGTGACATGATGACGTATCGATTTTTGATAACGTAACGTTGACATGAGATGAGATGATGACGTAATATTTTCAGTGACACTACTTTTTGGGTATGAAAATTAATAAATTAAATAAAATACATGGACTTAATTGAAAAAGAACCACAAAATCAAAATCAATTTTTTTCTAAAAATTTAGTGTTTTTTTTTGTGCAATTTTCATTATTATAACATAATAATCAAGACTTTTTGGAGGGTTTAAGACCCTTTGTGAGCAAGCTTTTGGAGCAAAACAACATAACAAAGTTAACGTATAGTCTCAATATTAGTTTGCATTCCAATCTACCACATCCTTGATGTTAATGTGAGATCCCCTAAAGTTAGTGGACGAAATGAATTCAATGTATTATATTTCGTGTTTCTATCCATTAAATCTTAAAGAGCTTAATGCATTGTGGATGTCATAAACTTAGTGGACGGAATGAAAGATATATGGAAAAAATGTTGTTTTGAGCTGCAGATTTTGAAACAAGCCTGTAACATCCTATTTTTTTTCCTGGTATGCTATTATTTCCGCATTTTAATTATTTAATTCAATTATTTTTATTTAAAAATGAAAGAGATAATTTAATAAATAAGATTAGATACCGAAAATAATAATAATAAGTTATATTGGGGAAGATAAGTAAAGGGACTGATTAGAGAAACTTTAGAAACTTAAATTGTCATATTATTGGATTTAAGGACTAACTAAATTAATAAAGTGAAAATTAGGGAGGTTAGTTTTGCCATTTGTTGAAAGTTACATGTACCTTTTACTTCTTAATAGATACGGGATTTAAGGCCTAGCCAATATTTGCGGCCCAATTCCCGCTGGATAAAGTTATAGTCTGTACTTTGGTTAACCATTGAGTAAAAAAGAATTATTCATATATTTATGGGCTTACTTGTTATATAGGATATTATGTTTATTTAATAATAAATAAATAAAATTAAAATATGCGTCAAAGATAAAAGATTACTTAGGACAATTAATCTTAACTTAGTTGTAGTATACGTCATAAGGATTCCAGAGATATAAGGAGCGTTCAAATCCAACTTCATATGAGAAAGTTATGTCTTTCGAAGTTTCTCGATTTAACCGGCATGACTCTGCGTCTCATAAAAAGTAGATTTTCGATAAATTACTTTTTAGCCTTAGTAATCTAAACGAGAGTCGTAGTAGTCGTTAAACCGAGAGTGTGCATACAGAGAACGTCCAAATCTGACTTCGTGAGAGGAAGTTTATGATTTTTCTAAGATTCGGTATAACGATATTCTACTCAAAAATCAAATTCTAGATCGGTCGAATTTTAGCCAAGATGATCTAAAGGAGAGTTGAAGATCTCATTGATAGGAGTACAACGATGAAAAGTCTGTCGAAAATGAACGTCGGATGAGAGCGTTATGCTTTTTATACATGCTTTAATAGTTTAAGTCTGTGTGAAAAATATAAAGTCAAAATTAGCCGACGAAGTCTAAACGAAAGTTGTAGATCTCGTTAAAAGATTTTCGAGGATATAAAGAACGTCAAAAATGGAGTTCGTATGAAGAAAATACACAATTTTGAAAATCTGAAATTCGACACGCGTATGCGCGACGCGCAGAAGGTTCTAGAAGCTGCTATGCCGCCCCACCCAATTCGTGCCACGTGTCAGCAGGCCTGAGGAGCAATGCCACCCTGTACGCGGCGCACCACCATGTTGCACGACGCGCATCCCAAGGAACCCATCTATAAATAACAACTCATTCCTTCCTCAATCCTCACACCTTTCAGTCGATTCTGCTCTAAAATTTTCAATACTTAGCCCCTTTTTCCTTCATTCTAACCTATGGCAAAGCCCTGCAATGCCCCTGAGAACACATCTGAGTAGTAGCCTTTGAGTAGGAGACCCCGAATTAGTGGGAGTCTTATTGGTCTTGAAGAGTTTCAAGAGTAAATCAAGAATAAACATTTTAGTTATCACTAGCACACGACCTGAGGTTGATAACCTATCGTGTTCAGTTGACACATTCTTGTTTCTGTGCACCTTCCAATGGAGTTAGCAATGCGTGTGAGTTCTATGGTTCTTATTTGACTGCAAAAGGCAGAGCACGTTGGCCAGTGATAGTACATTGGTCAATAGAAGTGAGTAGCTTAAACAACATGGAAGACATGGTAGGCCCTTATGCTACCAGATGGCAAGAAATTAAGAATAAGCAAAGTTCAGTCCATGAAAGGAAAAACAAAATTTGATTTTGGTTTGTCCTCAACCTTATCTTATGATTGTAGGTTGGAATTGATAAATTCACATGGATAGGAACACATACACCCTAAAATCTAGGTGGCAAAGGTTTTCGCTCTAATTCATGAAAATGATTATGAGGAAACACTTTCGCCAGTAGATTTTAAATTTGATGGATATCATGGTTAGCAGGTGTGATAACGTCTGCGTTCTCAAATTCGTATATGATTATGACACCCCTTTTCATAGTTCGAATTGTGAGAAATGGAAAGAAATAGTTTGAACGTTCAGGACATATTGCTATAAGTTTTGAAGGGGTTTAAACACACACATATGCTATCTAATGAAAGGTGTATGAGCTTGAGAAGTCTAGATGAAGACTGATCAAAGCATCACGTATCAGAAATCTGAAATTTAGGAAGAAAGTTAAAGAGTATTGATTTCTGGAAGTCCAGTTGATTTTTGGGTACATGTCAAAGCTAGTGGGAGCATAATTGTTATGCTAGCAAGAATATAATTGTTATGCTAAGTGGGAGCATAATTGTTATATTAAGTATTGCATGTTGGCAATACTAGTTGTAGGAAACAAAGATTTCAAATTTGCAAAGTATGGAAATTGTTTCGCTATAGA